TTGCTGCAGCGAGTTTGGCCTGGAAGATGTTGCTGCGAGGGCAAGCAGCTAAGTGTTGATCACCTGGCGGCAACCGGAAAGTGGGAAATCTGGACACACCGCACCGAACGCCGGCCTAAGCCTGATGCACAAAACGCACAGCATGAGTCAATCTCAAAAAGAACTGCATGCCACAAGAATTGTAGAATTCAGTACAGATGCGTGGTGTCACCTGCAAAAAAAAATCGTAGCTCAGCAAATCCACGTCTCAGCGACACATCGCACCTATTCCAGCAACCATCTCTGCAGAACCTCTGAAGCCGCAATACTTGCAGACCTCAAATCTTCAAGCAAACACCCATCCGAACAGCCTCTGATGACACTCACACCCATCCAAACCACGTAAGAAACATACCGTATATACTGGTTGTGAGACCAAACACAAAACAGCCACTAAACAGATTGATGGCGCAACACCCCAAAGCGGTTTTGGCAGGTTGCCATAATTGAAAGATGTCATGGTAGTCTTGGCTGGTATAAAGTTGTTTGTTTTTTTAAAAAATGTTGTGGGACGTTGTCACAAGTGGCATGTTGATGCCGATGAGTGTCCCTTTTGATGAGTACCCATGCTTTCATCATGAGCAAAAACGAACAAAACAAACTCTTGGCCGGCCATGTGCCATCATCAACGAGCATAAACAAACAAAACAAACTCTTGGCCCGCCAGGTGCCATCATCTAAAGAACAACTGTAGATGGCCAAATTCGTGTGATCATCTGTAGATTCTCCCATCTTCTTCACCATCATTCTTGCGTTTCAAGAGCTCCTCATCCCGCCCAGCGGCCATGACCTTGGGCGAATCCGCGGAGCCGCCGCCCCACCTGGACAAGGTCGGGACGAGGTCCGATGAACCGGCGGTTGGCGGTCCCGCCAAGCATCTGCCAGGTGTGGGACGGAAGGGGGATGATGAGCACAATATAGGTAAGAATCTCAGTACAGTATATCTATATATATTATTTTAACTGGGTTGATCTGCACCACCCGCTATAGCTAGTAGTAAGGGACCCTTGCTAAAGATGCAAGTAAGTGAAACATGTTTGTTGGATAAGACAAACTTTACTATTGCTTCCTATAGTTCCCAAGATCATGGGAAGATGGGAGCACACTGAGTCAGAGACTTCCATAATCTTCCATATGGTTCAACCCTGTAAATGAAGGAAAAAACATGAACCAAGTATATACTGTCGGTGGATTTGCTGTATCTCGGAGTTGTTGCTCGTTTCTCAGCTGAGCACATCAAAACACGATGCACTCCCAGCCTTTGGCAATAGCGCGCATGTTGAGGGCCTTTGGCTTTGACCATCGAGACCTCTCCCAAGAAACCACAGAACTTGCATTCGCCAACCTTAGGCCGATGACACTGAGGGAAGACTCTGCACAAAGCAGGGCATTGGTTTTACATGGTTCTACATGGCTTCACTGTGATTTACCTGCGTGTCAAATCAGTGAGTCTGCATGTTCTCTTGGGAAGGACCAGAATCCCAACCCTGCCATAGCAGCATACCGTAACCACCCTGACTTCCCTTGTTTCAAGGAGGTCTTGGTTCTGTCTTGTAAAAGGTCTTGACAAAGGAGGTTTTGACAACAAACAAGAAACTTGTCGAAAGCTTCTGGTTTCCACATGTGTCATGGGACGTGCGGGATGTAACGTACGAGGTCTGACGTAAGATCATGCCATTCCGAAACAAGGAAGACTGGCTGAAGCAAGCAGAATGGGGGGCCTTGAGGGACCCGAAGCTGAGGAAACATGCTGCCACAAAAATATACATCCCTCGACTATCCACAGAGTTCCAAATTGTCCTTTAAATTGTCGCAAACACTCCACACAACGCTCCACAAAACATCGCACCTTTCTCGCAAAAGTCTTTCTTCATTGCCAACCAGGAACATCCGTGGAGGAGTACCGCGGACAGCTCCAGCCATGATGACGGCCGCTGGTCATGATCCATGCAGGTCCTCTGGATATTCGGCAGTCTAATCAGCAATCTGCACGACAAACAACACTGGTCATGAGCTTAAACCAAAAGCCGCACATGAACAAGTGACAGAACACTCTGTTTGGTCGTTACCCAAGACAGCATAGCCAGCCAATGTGTTCCCCAAGCCTAGGCTGGTTTACTACAATATCAATATCTGTCAACAATGGCCAAACATTCACTTGATAATCAGGGCCAGGTTGTCAAACGCGGTGACCCACCCTGGCCACAAAAAAATGCCTGACCTGGCCCGGCATCACAATCATCAGTATTATGATCAATACTATTGTCGTCATCATCATCATTATCATCACCAGCAGTCTGTTATATTCTGTCGACTGTCTTCAACAAGCCAGCTGCCCGCCGGACACGCTTGACATGCTCAGGCTCATCCAGTCCTCCTCCAACTCCGCAGGATTTGCAATGCACAAGCCTCAGTGGAACACACCACCGTCCCATCAACATAAGGCGCAAATTGAACATGACAGATGCACAGCCAAAGCTGCCAGTAATAGCAATATCTGAAACATCCATGGATTGCGCAGGATTTCTCGAACATGTCATATAAGGTGAAATCATGTGACATGAAAGCAATACGGGTCGAGTGGGGCCGCGGCAGAAAAGGTCGAAACAGTGGGCCTGAGCTAGGCGATGCATGCAAGCGGAGCTCAGCTTCGAGCTTCCCCGAAGTAGATAGATAGTTTCTCAAGAGTTTTGCCCAAGACATGTTCCATGTTTGAATCCCCTGGGTTTATGGTCCCTCGAAGAAAGGATTTGCATGGTTTTTAGACAAAGGATTGTCATGGACAAAGAGGGCATTTTATTGCCACAGGAACTGATTGGTCTCTTTTTTGCTGTGTGTCAACTGCCCAACAAAGTGATGCATGATTGCGGTTGAAGCTGTAGTGTGTTCCCCTAGAAACACGCCTACCTCCAAGCAAAATGGTACACTCCACACTTGCAAAAAGCATGTCTGAGTCATCTGTGGAAAGTGAATTTGAATGTGACTCAAAAAATCACCGACCATGGGGTTCCCAAATGTTCGAGGACAACCGTGACGCATCACCTTGAATGCCAGAAAGGTGCAATTGCGCTGGTGATGATTGCCCTCTTCCTGTATTCTGTCCTGGCCGAACACGTTTCCCTGGATCGAAACGATCAACTTCATGGAACCCGCAATAAAACAAGGCATGCAGCTGGAAGAACAAGGAACATCTTATAGGGAACAGTAAAATGGCCTCCGTTCTCCTACACCGCCTTTTCATGCCTTTTCTAAGCATACGAAAACTTCGACAGTGGCAGCCTTTGTGGTCAGTTAGCAGGAGCTTTGCTGAACATGCAGTCTCGGTTTGTCGAAGCAAATGAGGAGAGAGGCAACCAATGCCTTTCTATATAAGAGGCATTTGACATAGGCAAGGAGCACACGCCTTACCTGTGAGATTCTCTCATAGAAAATGCCTTAGGTAACATCAGGGGCGATTTACTACAGTTGCAGGAGAAGGAGATAGGGTGCGTCATGGTACGTCTAAAAAAGGTTCACGAGAAACAAACTTGTCGGCAGAATCAATTCATCTCTGGCCATAATATATAGTCAACTGCCTTGGAACCTATCTACAGTACACTCCCCCAAACACCCTTCTTCTCAACCTGGCAGGAGCAAACCGATGGGAGCTTTCCCGAAAAGCAACGGCTCGCCCAAGTCTGACGTCTCCTCTCGCCCCTGTGCGTTGCACTTGGTGCATTTGGCCTCAAATGCAATTGCATTGGTGCAGAAAAAAGCTTACAAATTAGAACATGGATATGTCATATACACCACGAATAAACGTAGCAGTCACTTGATAGCAAATTATCTCTTCAAAAGTATGTCTCCCACTGAAGGATGTCATGGTGTCGTCATGGTTGAAACATCTTAATATTAAATGGTGAAAGGTATCATTCCTCCTCTTATGAGACAAGGAATTCAACTGGGATTTCAAGCAAAATTAGTGTTTTCTCACTGCGACACACCAATGCCCCTTGGGACGCAGTCTCAACTTTTGGGGTCTACAATCCAAAACAACGAACTTGAAGAACAGAGTGCAATATTAATGTATGAAGGAAGAGATGCGAAGAGCATGCATCCTTTGCTCAAATATATAGTGTTCGTTGTCGAAGTTTACAAGTTTATGCTGTCTCATTGGAAAGTACTTGCTGGTGAGTATGATAATGTAATCAACAACCGAATATGTCTGCCACTTGCAGGTTCTACAACGTCATATCACCCTTGAGCCCCTGGCTATCTTTGCCATCGCGCAGCCCGAGTGACAGAACTGATCTGCTTGGATTAATCCACCGTCAGGGTATTTCTCAAGGGCTGAAGCCACGATGCGGACCTGTGGGACTATAGAAATACCGATCATCCCGGACATCCACTGTGTTTCAGACTGACTCAGGTGGCTTTTGTTACAGGGTCACACCTGGATGCAGGTGTGGGAAGAGCAAACTGAATGAGCAAGTATCCGTCTAAATCCTTCTAACAACTTTGTACAGTATCCTTCTTCAGTCTTCTTTGTGTTCAAATCTGTTCTCAGATGACTAAATGGGCCATCTCCTGCGGCGATCGAACATGCGCACACCTACACCCGGGTGTTGCTCCTTTCTTTTGAAATACAGTATTGTCGTTCCCATGGTGAGGCGTTTCCAGGAATCCATCTATTTTAAAGAGTCAATCCAACTCGGCGTTTCTATCTATTCCTTTTGATTGCATATCACTGTAGTCTCAAAAGTCAAAGTGAAACTCTTCTAGTATTACCAAACGACACGGGAGCTCCCCTGTACTGATCCTGCCAAACATATTTCTACACCAAATCCAGCACCTGCAATCCACAGGCCCAGCAAGCAACATTTAAACAACAATTGATTAAGAATAAGAACAAGGCATTGATTCTGGGTCTTGAGCAGTATCAGTATGAGTATGATCACATAGTCTGTCATCTACCCCGTTCGCTCACACTTTTCTCCACCGGGAATGCAACGAAGACCGCCGAAAACTGCAGTCCTGTTCGGGCCACGGGTGGTTTGGAGGCAGCAGATTCTGGATGTCTTTGTTTTGTCTGGTGCAGCCAATTCTCGGAACGCCTTGGACAGTTCTGGGCCCATGGGCGAACACCCCTCTTAACGAAAGTCCTATATATAGCTAATATAACAGTTTTATAGCTCAGCTTTGATGCCGGAGTCTTGTATTTCAACACTACCCATCACGCCAGTACACACCAGTACAAAGAGTACACTAATTATCTCCAGTTGGATTCTGCCAGGACTAGTAGTATCCGTAGTATCAGTGGATCTCTGTCTCCAGTTGAACACACCCAGTCTTACCAGCCCTGGCCGTCGCATGGCGGCGCGCCTCGTCTCGCTCTCCTCGCGCCTCGCACCACGCGCCGTTTCAGCCGGTCGATGTGGAGCCCGAGGCCTGGAGGGGCCGCCGTGGTCGGAGTCCCTTGAAAACGGTGATCCTTTGTTGGAATCAAAGGGGGTTCCTGCAAAAAGATATAGAGTGCAGAGTGATGGCATAATTTTACCATGCACTACCAGTTAAGTTTATATATAATATTGCTTGACTCAAAGTAGATTTTGCATTGCAAGGTCTCCTAGTTGGTAAATGCACATGATGAAGTTGGTGAAAAAAAGTAAGGATGGAGGCTTCTTGATTGATTCCCACATAGTACCAGTACTCGTCTCTAAGGAAAAAAGGCTTGGCATCGAGATTGGCCTAGCGGCAGCATCCGGGGACAACAAGCGGAATGGACATCCAATCTCATAGAAGCGTAGCTTCAAGTTGAAGAATCTGGTGAACAGTTGCCACGTTGTGTTTGTCTCAAAGAAGGGGAACCTCGGTGACCGACCGCATAAGGAACCCATGGTGTAAGTCTTTGGAGGTATGCCCAAACTTGGCCCAGGAACCAACTCTGCATCATACCTGATACAGTATCTGCTTTGAAAACGCTGTGGCTTCGCGTACAGCCAAAGGAACTCTCATTTCCATTGCTACGGCAAAAGCACATATGGTCTGCAGTGTCTAGGCCATCAACAGTTGCACTGGCTTCAAGCATGGAAAGCATGCATTAATATCATGTTTTTTAGTGTTCCCCATTTGCATACATGGCCGGCACTCAAGTCTCTTGGATTGCCCCAGTGGAGCCTTCTGAGGTCATTCGTGGGATCAATGTGAGAACACGGACCTTTGCAAGGCTCAAAAGTCTTTACACATGTTCCATATCTGTGTGGACCAGTCAGTTGCAGTACAAACCCGGTCGGCTCATCAGTCTGCTCCCCCGTCGTGGCTCGAGCCTCGTCTCTCGCTCCCCAAATGTAGAAATGACCTCGACTCGAGTCTCGCCAAGTAGCGGTGGTGTTTGTTTGCTCTTGCATGTGGACAGCACGTTGTGAGTTTGACACTTGCGGGATTGGGTCCCCCTTGGAATGAACATATTTTCCGGCCTTTTGGGGGGGGCTGTGCAGTTTGCCGTGCATTGAGGCCAACATCTAAAGAAACCAATCAAATTGGAGAAGCTGAATCTCAAAGCTGGTCGCCATGGAAAAAAAAGAGCATGTCTCACTCTCTCAGTTCCTTATATTAATACCGTATACCCTTTACTACTCAGCCACCTTCGGGCCGGTTTAACGGTTAGCCATCCCTGATCGATGGGTGGCAATGAGTGTAACTACCTGTACCGCAGTGTGGTGGGTACAAACCAAGTAGCACCGCAAAAGAATCGCACGACAAAGACACACCAAAACCGCTACCCGTCAGCTCAAGTCAGTAAGAAATGTTGAACAGTCTCTTGCGAGGCTTCTTCTCTCGTTCTGCAAAAGAAAAACTGTTGCTGACTGAGCACATCTGCGCACCGTGCCCGGTGTTTCAGGGGTCTCTTCAATTCAAGCTTTGTTTGGAACTTCAAAATACGAGTAGCATGTAGGAAGATTACAACAGAATTTGTCCACCTTTCTTCTCCCAGGCGGTGTCTGTCTTTCTTAGCCGCTCCAAGGTGCCGTTGCGATGGATGGAGAAGGCTTGGTGAAGGTCCTGAAAGCTCTTCCCATCGAGCAAAGAAGCTTCGAACACCCCGAACGCCAGGGGGAATCCCGGTGGATGCTGCCGGGGTTCGCAGCGACTTGGGAAGATCCCTGTGGGTCCCAGTGGGGCTCCTCGGTGGGTCCGGGTCTGATTTTCATCAGGTTCATGCATGTTTCGATTTCTGACATGGGATGAATGAATGAATTGTGGAAGACATGGATCTGCACCACTCGGCGCCTCTTGTTCAAACCGGTAGCATCATATGTGAAGGCACCATGCTGGATGGTCGAGTCCATGTATCCCTGGAGTCACACAGAACAGTCCGGAAGGGTGGACGAGTGGAGTGTAGAGTGGAGTGTGAAGGCGTGGCTTCAGAAGCGTCACCGCTAAAAGGAACGATAAAAATGGCACGAAACCATTGGACAGTCATGTTTATAGTCACGATGAACTGGAACCTGGCACCTGAACATTTCCTGGTCTAGCAATCCAAGTCATGAGCCTCCGAAGGTTGAACCTTGTTTTACTCTTCAGAAACGTTCATTATTAGTAATATCTGTTTCAATATATACTATATGGAATCTAACTAAGTGACTCACACTGCCCTCTTCCAAGATTTCCTCTGACTTCATCCACTGAGCACCCGGTCCCAAGAAATGCCCACAGTCGGCTGGAGGTCGTGGTTGTAAACCTCACGTGGAGCCAGTCTGGAGCAAGCACAATGCGCATCATCCAGCCCTTTCTAGCAAACACAATTCTCGCCCTTTGTGGCAAACCTTTGAGCCTCAAATGCTTTGAGAGATTGGGACGCTCCAAGTTGCAATCCCATTTGCCGGTTGCATTTGCAGCGGATTCAGATGGATTACGTATCAATGGGTCGTCCAAGCTGGTGCAACATGTCCAACGAGAGTAATTAATTAAGCCAAGCGTCGTTTTCCTCTTGGCTCAACACCCAACCGCCAAACCCAACAATTATCCTCTTGTTCTGTACCCTGTGGGAATCTGGCTACCTTCTCACCACACACCGGCAGTGTCTCTGCTCATCAGTCGATCTGAGCTCCTCGCCAGCTGCCCGTCCCGTGTCCAGCAATGGACGCAAGCCGCTCCTCGAGCCTCACGGGTGACCACTTGGGTGCCCTGATGGGACAGCCTTGAAGAGATACCAGTCATTAAGATGACCATGGAACACCCACCATCCAAGGGCCTCTGGTGTTTCTCAACTGTGAGTTGTTGCAGTAGGTAGGTGTTTCTTAGAAACATCTGATGCAGACTGATACACGATTCATCTTGTTGTATTGTGATATGAAAGCAACATAATCCTGCGATTGTTGTTCCATATCCAACCTCCTTCACTTCCTCTAAACCGTCCTGAGAATACAACAAATGGCCACGATCCACTCTGAACCACCAACCTCACTGCCTTCGGATTCCAACACCCTATATGATTCCAACAAACCGAGTCGCCAAGATGTGGCTTCCATCGGGCGAAAAGGCCGGAGGCGATGGACCTCCGTCGCTGGTGGTCGCTGTGGAGGTCGTGCGGGGAGGGTGATGATCGCAAGTGATTGTGCAGTTTCAAAAAGGACCAAACGCACGAAAATTGCCAAACCGTCCTTAAAAACATTTAAACACATACGAAACAGGCGGGGATCAACTGGTGCTAGGTGGTTGGACAAGGGAATGCGGAAACGATTGGTGGGAATTCGACCGAAACATATCGAAAACTATATATAGACTATAGATCAATGTCCAGGTTCCCGAAAACCCTCAAAGATCAACCGCATCCGATCTTCCCTAGTGAGGCCAAATGACACCAGCATGTCGGGGCTGATAGTGACACTCCTATAGCGGTGGTGACACTCAAAAGAATACCAGTATCATGTCATGTTGTCTTTCTTCATCTGCCAGGTATGTTTGAGCAAACTTTGCATACATACGTTGGATTGTATATTGTATACCATCTGAATCTGGGTTCCAAAATGCCTGACCCTCGAGGCTTGCATGATCTACATGTGTACTGCTTTGGAACACAGGCTGCCTGCTAATGTAGAAAATTGATCCTTGGGAACTCCACCGAATCTCGTGGCTACTGGCTTCACCTGCGGAAGAGTGCTTTCTGAACTTGATCAGCCGTGGCTAGGAAGGCCCACTAGGGCACAAGTAAGATAAGTAAGTTGATCTCAGGTGTTGAACATGGCTGGAAATTCTTGCATGTTCCATGACTTAGGATGCGTCTCCAAGGCCGGAGATTCCCAAACACGCCCATGGTACAAGATGGTGCAAGAAGAGTAAATAGATGAAGAGTCAGGGGTATGGGTTCCCATTCAATTGACACTGAACACCGATTATAGATATCGACTGGACCTGTGATTCTGTCTCCACTCTGGGTCACCGCTGCCGCTATCCAAAGCCCCTGAAGCCTGAGGACTGACCCGAACAAATTTCGATTCACAAAAGAACGGGCGCATGATGTGTTTGAGAAACAGGAACCCGGGTGCCAATCAGGTTCTTTAGAAAGTGACTATGCACTCCGCAGTAGTCCTATTCTTACATGTTATCATATGTTCTCAATAGTTCCTCAACATCTCCAAATGAGCTTGTCATCTTGGAGCCTCAGCCCCGTTTTATCCCCTTTCGAAGCCACAAAGCCATCAAGAACCACCTTCTTATAACTGATCAGGCCTCTCTCGCACTACAATCTACATAGGGAAGACAAACTTGGAAAAGCTGATGCGAATGGCTTTACCGAGGCGAGACGGGTAGATCGATGAGGGCATTCTCGCCTGCAGTCGTAGAGTGGGCTCTGGACATCCCAAGGCAGTGCAGCAAAGGGAGCCGTCCTGGCTGTTGATGGAAGAGTTCCACATGAACAGCACACATCCTCAGAGTCGAATGACAGAGTTTCAATCTCTTTCAACAGGATACTGGACATTGCAGGATTCTCTTTGGAATAGATATGCACCGGTGGGGATACTTCAGCAAATATCCATTGACAATTTAGCTCAGTGTGACTTGATGCTCAATGTGAGCAAAAACTTAGGGCTTGGTTAGACATTCAACAAACACCTACCAGAACAATGTATCATTTTGATGCACCTGAACACCTCTGAACATTGCTCGCCTCAACACCTCAGTCATCCAACATCTCTATTATGAAGAACTTGAACACTTCCATCAACTCCACTCGCCCCTTGCGCCTGCGCTTGGCTCAAGACCCAGTTGCCATCTTGCGAGAGCTGCACACCCACCACTGCCTGATATGGTCGGCGCTCATCAGGCACACGAAGGAGAGATGAATTCCCGGTGCAACAGCTCCACAATTCACCAATTTTGAAGACACTAAATGATGTTCAACCTTATTAAGGCTCCACACACATACATGACCTTGGGAGAAGGCTGAGTTAGTGCTTATATAGTGCTTCTTTGGGTCGAGAAATGCCTGAAGGATCAAAGGACCCTCAACAGGTGTCGTTGCGACCGCTGCACGACGGCGAAACGGCCTGCGCCGACTGGTGCAGCCGCACCGCATCTGCGGGAGGCCCTGGCACTCGCTGGTCTAAGACCTGACTGGCGAGTGACCAGCAGGGTGGCTGAGGAATGGATATGTTAACGTCTACTAAATTGAAGATTCCTAGAATCGGATTGAGCGACAAAACACATCATTTCCTCATTCCCACATGATTAGCAGCTGGACGAGCCTGTTGGTCGGGTGTCAAAGGTTGGAAGATGCCAAAACACAATGCTAGGTGCAAGCTCTTGAACATGAACCACAGCGCAGCGGAGCCATCCGAATCTGACGACTGCTGGACAACGTTACCAGTCACAAAACAAATGTCCTATATAGATAACCATTCCAAAACAACCAGGAATGGACGCCGAAACCTCCTGAGATCCCCCGACGGAAAGCCGTCCATCGGCCTAGCGACGGAGGGTCTCCGATGTCGGGGCCATGTGTGGTGAGGCAGATCGTGAGCCATTGTGGATGATCAATATGCTAGCACCTGACTCTGCAGCGCTCCTCTGGAGGCTTTTGGAGACTGAATAAGTCGTAGGTGGTGACCTGTTGGAGGGTTCTGGTAGGGGATGTGGGTCGATGTTGACATGCCGCCGAGCAGCATAGCCAGCCACCACCACGCCAGATGAGCGATGAGCTCTTGCCGTCGTCACGGGTGCGGGACATGGCATCGACCTGGACGCTCTCAAGGAATGGTCCCAAAGTCGATTTTCCAATCGACGAGGATTGGTCAAATCGTGGATCATATTGACATATTGGAGGCTGTCAGATCCATACAACAACGTTCAATACTATTGATTCATGTACAGTAACAAAACAGTCTTTTCAGTGTCATCCACTGGGTCCAAGTTCAACAGCAGGGGTTCGGCCCTTAAAACAGTTTGATTTGTCTGATGATCTTGTGACATGCTTCATGATGCTCCCCAGTTCGCAAAAAAACACAATCCGCCTCACCATCTGCCCAGTCTGCACATCCCAAAGCTTCACTGTCCTGGTTGCAGAGTTGAGCAAGTCACGAAAAAATGTCTGATGCAACATGACATGCCGATTCACTGCCAAATACAAATTCTTCTATGCCCATGCCCCATGCCTGACAGTGCATCTTGACCAAACAGTGGCTTTTCTTAACAACAATATGGATCTTTCTTCTTGCCAACAAGAGAAATGGACCAAAAACGGACCATGACACAAGTGGTTTTGGTCCTGTCTGCACCAGCAGTGAAGGCACGTGAGGCCTTCCATGCCAAGAGTTCGGATTCTAATTGGAGATATCTTTACTTATACAAAACACAACTATTCTGAGATGTATTCTCCAGTACCTTCTGATGAACTTTTGTAGGGATCTATGTATATATATATAATCCAGATGACCTCTGAACTGTGCATACATATTGTAAGTACATTGTGCAAATGGGCACACGGAAGATCTGCATCCAAGCCCAACCTGCTGAGCTCAAAACCTGAGGAACAGCGATTTCCTACGGAGATGTTTCCAGTTTTCAGGTTCAATGCGAGTACTCCCTAAATGTGCCTGCAACCAGCCACAGGCAGAGACAAGACCACGGTGCCCGCAAAGAGTGAAGAGCAACCGCTGCCTTGCAGCGACAGAATATACACTTCAAAACACGCAATTGCATTTACCTGAGACACAAAAAGCTACAAAGCTCGACAAACATCCCTCAAAGGGGAATACTTTCATGATGATGAGTGCCATCAATTCGAGCGTCGGGGTGACTAAGCTTCATTTACTATATAAATACAGTATATGAACATGTCAACTGCTGACTTTGTAGACATTTCCAAATTCAGTGGTATCTACAACTCCAAACACAACGTAGTTCTGATCCGCCAAGCCCGGCTCCGTTTGTTTCGATCCGGTTAACGCCTCTGGAGGTCCAAGACGCGTACGGCTTGGTCGGAAGATGCGGCCAGTAGAACACCGGTGCCCTGGAGAAAAGGCCGGGGCGTATGTTATTTCTGATTTTTGGTTGCTTTTCTTCGTCAAGGGTGCCAAGACAAAAATCTTCTCAAAACAAAAAAGGACTGTGAAAAGGCCAAAACTGAGAGTGTAATGAGCTTGTGACACTTGTGGACAACAACATTGAAGGTTTTTGCTATGGAAACTAGCAAAATGTAGCAAGCTTGAACTTGAATGCAGTAGCGTTTAAACAGTATATGTTGTTGCAAGGCTGGACGCTATGCATGGATGGAAGCTTTCAACTGAAAATGAACATGTGATGATGTGTGTGATGATGAATTGACAAACGGTGCTCGATGTCAGGACGCGGGGATTGGACTGGGTTTCCTAACCATTCAGGGCTATATATTTATTCCATGTCCTTCCCCTAAACTGAGTCGCACTTTGTACCATCCCATCCGTATCCCGACACTCGCGAGCCCGGCCTCTGCGAGATGAAGATCTATCACCTCCAAGCCGTTTCCAGGTGGAAGAGTTCGTGGAACCGAGGATTCCGTTGCAAGATTTATACTATGCAAAGAGTAGTAGAACTATAGATGTGATGTAAATGATGTTGAATGATGTTGCTTGACACGGACACCAACATACAAACATCTGAGCTCTTTGTTTCTACATGTTTTTGTCCACGGGGCCCAGTGAATTTCAATCTGACTGATCTGCTTTTGTGGCCTTCCCCCGCCCACCAATTTTTGCCTTGGGAAGTTGTCGCGCGACCGAGACTTGGACTGCCAAGCGCCCAGTCACACCCTGGGCACAAGGCGTAGACCACCGCGGCATGAGTTCCACGCTTGATGGATGGGTTTCAGAAGCTTTTTCGTCGGCATGCTGGGACAACATTTCGTGCCCAACACCTGAAAATGTGGATTTAGTCAATAGCAGCATAGCAACCTGTATATAGATGTGGGCTTGGAAGCTGATGATATGTGTCTTCACAACATTCCATCCTGTTGACTGTTCACATGGCCAATATCGCTCAACAGCCGCCGTGAACTGACCATACGACTTCCTACTTACTCAGTAGCATGTCTGACAAACAATTTGATGAACACCAAGATCGATTTTACTATATATAATAGATTTAGTTTCAATATCTTTCAATTATGTTCATGCCTTCTCCCAAGGATCCTATGATGTCTCCCATGCTGCGCATTGCTGCCCCGAACAGTCCCTGGTTCTCAGGCGCAAACATCGAGGAGCTTCACGAAGCCATCGGACGTGCCCACTGCCACCAGCGAACGCCTGATTCGGGCCCAGCTGATGGTCGTCACACCGATGATCCGGTGACAGCGAACTGCACTTGGGAGTCTGGACGAATTCAATCGTCACGAAGTATAGCCGTATTCTTGGGCAAGCTTTCGGCTATGGAGCTCTTCACCATCATCCAACATCTCTATATGTGCGACGGCATTTATTTGGTACTTAGCTCAAATACACTATCTCTTATGTGGGGGCCCTATCTCGTTTAGACTACTTAAGCAGGAGGTCATGTCACAGTATCTCGTTCAGACTACTTTAGTAGCAAATCACACTATCTCGTTCAGACTACTTTAGTGACATCAAGCAAAAGTATCTCGTTTATGTGGGGGCCCTATCTCGTTCACAAGCGAATACTGATGATAGACAAACAAATAGAGCATGCCGTAGATTACTTTAGTAGAGCCTAAATAAAGTGGTTGCTCATATAGATAACAGTTTGGCATGGAGCACTTCATCCACATCCAGCCTGTCCATACAGTCTGCTTTTGAGACAGTGCTGAGAAATTGGTGAGCGGCTATACTATAATTACATCTTGCGAATCCAGCAGCCCTAAGAAATCACAATATACAATGAGCGTCTGGATATTGATTCGGCATCATAAGCATTCTAATTAGGCATTCTATATACCTTTTAGCTACCCCTTTCAACTGGCTATTCCTGAATCTGCTTCAGGCCGCAGCTGTCAGCTCCCAGCTTCGCTCACTCACCAACTCAGATTGACATCCATCCATTCCATTCACCTGATGCCCAGCAACTCCAACCCCTTGGACTCGTAGTCCCACCCGTCAAGACTTGGGGGTCCCTGCGGAAGAGAGGAAGAGCTGCTTTGCAAAGCTGGCGAAACAAAGGACATGAAGCCATGATGGTTTTCCATCGCAACATATAGTAATTGTTCATGAGTCATGAGTCATCATGTCCAGCAATACCAAAGGGTTTTGGTATACTTGGGCTTCCACCAAGTTTTTTGCTGAACATGTGCCACCCCTCTGAAAAGGCATGCTACATGAGATTCCACCGACGAGTTCGACCTGCACTGATGCAAGTCAGCTCCGTCTGCAAGTTGCCGCGCACCTGCAGGATGGCGCTGGAAGGCGCTTCAGTAGTCAGTATGGTAGTACGGCAGTACACACAAACCGCATTTCCCTTTGCTATTCCCATGTGATCCAGGTTAAACCTGCTCTTTCAGCTTAGTAAGTGCGTTATTTCAACCAAATCCAGCTCGCATAAGTTGCCCAAGAGCGCTGCACACCCGGACCGCCGGCGCAAGCGGCGCGTGGCCCAGTGGCCTTTTGGTGCTCGGGCAATTCCGGCGGCCTTTGGCTTCCGACGGTGCGTGTTTCGGTTCTCCCAGTCAAATTCTCTCCCGAACAAATACACAGAGTCTGCATCTTGGGCGGATTCTGGACTGCGACAACTGTAACTGTCGACCAGGATTGCAGTACCCACATGGCACCATAAAGCCAAGACCGTCCAATGTCCACGTTGGGTCTTGCTGATGCAGTCATTGGTCCAGTGCAATCAAACATGACCGGTGCAAAGCGCAGCTGAGATCGAAAAACAATCTTCTGAGACTGGTGATCTAGCATGATCTAGAAGCCAAACTGTTGCAAACAAGTAACATCAACTCAACAAACAGTGTAAAAGTTCTGCTGATTTCCGGTGTCTTTCATGTGTCTTCGGTCTATTCCATCTTGTCGCGATTTACCATCTGAGTCTGAGTGATTTCTATGAACTCACAACCTGAATGTTTTGAGTTTTCCCCTTTTTCAGGCCCTTTGACTCCTGTTGGCCACCGGGCCTCGTCTCAATCAGATCCACAGCCAGTCCTGCTGCACCTCAGCTGGCCCATTTGGCCAGAAACGGAAGGGACATCGAAAGTGTTTGAATGTGTTTGATGGTGGAAGGGAAGATGTGAATCAGTGAACACTTGACACATCACCCGCATCCACCTGCACACCCATTTGCTCAATCACGTGCAGTAAATAATCTTGAAGGTTTGACAGGACCACGTCGATGCACTCCCATCCGACTCTTAAACTCGATGCACTCTCAAAGCTAAGGTACAGTCTTTTTTCGAACTCGCAGAAGCGGAATGGCCGTGGATTCTTCACCTCCTCCGACCTAGCGCGGTGCTGTTCAATTTCCAGCACGGGCACATGGGCGAGTTTCGCATTGAAAGCCGCCGTGCCACAGCCACAGCCACAAAGGCGCAGGTCAACGAGTTTCGGCAACGACGCCAAGGCATCAACCAAAGGCTCCAGACCTTTGAGGTCGACGTTGTTATTTGTCAGATCCAGACTGACCACAGTGAGCTCCACAAGGTGCACAAAGGCCCTGGCCAATGATTCGGTGCCTTCAGCACCTAACTCGCGGTTATAGCCCAGATTCAACTGCAAATTGGTTAGCTGCGTTAGATTCTGCAGGGCTGTTGCCAATGATTTGGTGTCTTCAGCACCTACACCGTTGCCCTCCAGGTTCAGCTGCAAATTCGTCAGCTGCGTTAGATTCTGCAGGGCTGTTGCCAATGATTTGGTGCCTTCAGCACCTACACCTACACTGTTGTCCTTCAGGTTCAGCTGCAAATTCGACAGCTGCGCTAGATTCTGCAGGGCTGTTGCCAATGATTTGGTGCCTTCAGCACCTA